CGCGTTGTGCAAATATATTTTCTTATTATCATATAAACGAGTTTTACATATTACGAAGGTATTTTTTTTCTTACTAAAATGTAAAACATTTTCGAAGACGATGTATATGTTGGACACGGATATGATGAACTAGAAGTTCTGAGAGCAAATGAGGAAAGTAACATAATACAAAAAAAAGTGAAAAGCTTCACGGTACTTCGCACACTTCCGCCTCTTTCAAAGTTTATATAGCCGAACAACCGTCTCACTCACCGACGTGACTCCCTGCAGAGTGTATCACAATTAGCTGGCACCTTTCACCCCCTCTACCATCATCATACCCTACTCAACTCTCATAAAATCTTCCCCTTTCTTTATGTAAAATCTACACAGACTCGTTCCAACACAAGCAAATTCAGTGAATTTTCATGCAAACTTTTGAAAGCTTATTTCAATATTACGATGAATAAGTAGGTTGATGTTATCTCTGTGGCTCCGAAAATTCGCAAAAGAAAGAATACACATCTATCTTACGAGAGATCATATAACTCATAAATGAGGAAAAACCGAATAGATTATTATTTTTATATATGATCTTGACAGAATATGTAGTAAAATGTATAAATATTTTTGGATAAAATAAAATAAAAATAAAAATTTTTAGAGATATTTATTTATACAGTACTATCGAGACGTGTGTGTGGATCTTACAGTTGTCTATATAAATTCACTTTCCGAATTTCTTAAAAGAAATATTATTGATGTATCTGGAGGTTGCAAGATTATATACAATATAATTGCTCCACTTTTTATTGGAGACACAATCGTGGCACAGGACGATATTTTCAGGCAGAGAGCTTTATTCGAGCTGTACAAATTTAAGAAGAAATAGACGCGGAAAGGAGGGAGCTTGGTGGCAGCGTAGTTAGTTATATGCTGTGCATGTTGGCAACAGTGCCGGTGTGTTTTTCATTTTCTTTATATCACCCTTGACGCTCGTAAAACCATTACCCGTGACCAAGCGAACGCAACTTCTGTATAAGCCCTATCGGTGTGTGCGTATAAACGCATGGAGTCGAGACGCTCTTTGATGATACTGAAACTTCTTTTACTTGTGCACCCCCATAGGTCCGTAAGACGAACCCAATTTCCTCGGCGACGGCAAGCCGACCCCTCAGATTTGTTCGACATGCCCACGGGAAGGATTCAGTTTTCTCGTTGGCGATTGGTTACATCTTGTCTGCTGATATTCCTCGGTAGCACGTTATTTCCAAGTATTTTACCTGGTGATGAAAATGCCAATCTCCATTTTTAAATTTTGAAGCATCTTGAGAAATAGATGTACTCAAAAGTTTTTGACGACTCAATGTACTTTGATCTGTTTCACGTTAATGACGTTCTTTGATGTTAATATAAAATTGTTGCTCAATTCCATCTATCTGCATATTACTATATTATGCCAGTAATATTATACTTCTTTTTCCCACTCTTTTCTTGAGACCACACATGACAACAAAATTTCAGATATATGGAAAAGCATTTGTAAATTTAGTAAAGTTAGTTTTATTTTGTTTTATACAAATAAGTCAGCTTCAAACTCTCTCTAGCACACTCTAACGTGGATCCCTTTTTGCATGGTATACGCGGTCTTATTATTCTTTTCTTCCCACCTCTCTCTCTTTTGCTCCCACTCATTTCTAGCGAGTGATTCATCATAAACGTCGCCCTCTCCCGTTTCTCTGACTAGCTGGCTAGCTTCGTTTCTGGCTTTTTGGCCTCTGGACACTTCACGCTCTCTCCTACCTCCCGTTCCCTTTCCTCTCTCACTCTTCTTCTCTCCCTCTCCCTCCATTCCTCCCTACTCCACATTCCTTTCAGCTTCTTCACATACTCTTTTTATTCTCATATTAGAATCGTACCAGCATATCATTCATTTTTATCATCACGTGCATACTTGCAGTTTTTTTTATACACTCAACCAAGATTGGTTATATTTACATACCGAATGTATTGAATTTAACTTTGATGTTTAAAAAACGTTACCAAAAACATATCTCATTTCCGCTCCTTTTACTCTACGTATAACTGATTTTAGTAATGCATAACACTTTTACAGATAATTTATCCAATTTTTTAATTTATGCAATAACTTTATATAGTGAATATAAATTGTATAAAATAGATGAATAAGCATCAATTTAACCCAATTTAATTCTAATCTAATCTAACATAAACTAACTTAACATAATCTAATTTGCCGTTTTTCATAAAAATATTTATTCCGTTCAACGACGACGAGAGCACTATTACTTGATACTAATCCATCTCCAAGTGCACACGGAGTCCGCGCTATTCGAAATATCCATGCGTTTTGACCAGTATTGAAGAACGAGTGTCGTTCGTCTCGAAAAGCCCACCTTCAGCCCGGAAGGTAGGATTCCGGTAATTCGGTCATGGAATGGATGGGCGATGTCGAGAGAGAGAGAGAGGGACGGTGAAGTGGGCCGGGTAAGGGGAATAGGGTAGGGACGGGAGGGCGTTCCACGGCACCCTGCATGGGGTAACTTGCAACCTCACGCGACACTAGAGCCATCTATATCCCTGGAGATTTATGAGTTCCTGGTGCAGCGGCTGCTCGTAGCAACTACACGCTATACAATATCGGTATGGCGCGGTGTTGGTGCTGCCCCCTGTCGCGAGACGATGCGCGTTGTTGCTCCGCGGGGGTTTCGCGCAATTCACGCTCGTGAACGTCGTCGTCCGGACAAAAAACTCACGATTCGATCTCAATCCGAGTCTCTCCTCCAACCTCCCACTGTTCCGTCAGTTAGGACTTTGACGATGTGCGCCTCGCTAGGCGTACCTGTCTTTCTGTGATTCAATATTATGCATCACATATTCTATATTATCACAATTTTCTCTCCTCTATGATGTATTTCACACTACATCTTCCGCTACCCTTTAATTCGCATAATCCCTTTAGTTCACCGTACACGTTGTACTTATTTCTCTTATCACGAATCCACTTGAAAGACGATAGATTTTCTTCACGGTTAATTAAAATTTCTGTGGCACACAAGGACAAAAAGTATTGATGCACATTTTTACTCACGACCGGACAGATATACACGGAAAATCGCGAACTGAGATTTTCGAACAGCCCCCTAGACGCAGCCGTCATTTCGTACTCCGCGTGATATTCTGCAGATATAACCAACGAGTATGGCCAGAGGTGGGGATTTACCCGTAGTGCTATGCGAGTATGCGACTACGACAAGGATAGTGCTAGTATCTACCTACCCATACCTACACACCATCCCGCTTTAGCACATCATCTTGATGCGACCGTTTTACGAGCAACCTGTGGTAACGAGAGGGATAGATAATAACCGCTTCGTGCCCAATTCTCAATCCTTTTTTCTCTCCTGCCTTCCCCCTCTCTCTGTCTCTTCCTGACTCTTTCATCCCTTCCCTCCAACACGCACACACACGAGCACACACACGCGCGCGCATTTTTCGGATGAATCTTTGTACAATAGTCCAACTAGGATCAGTTTTTATTCTTTCGCGTCCCATCTTGGATGTTTCCCCACGATCTGTGTAAATAGATCACAGCAGTATCGCGTTGAAGAGGAAAATTGCTAAAATCAATTTGAAACAAAGGACGAATAAAATCCATTCTCGTGGTATGATACACTACATCGTTAATCAAATGTATCTTGTTATCTTTGACGTATTTAACGAATGTTAATTTGAATCTTCTTCACTTTCCTAAAAAGATTGCGTCTTTGCGAATTACGCAAAATGCAAAACGTTGTTTTGCAAGGCCACATCGAGAATCGTGTTTCTGGTTTTTGCGAGTTTTAAGTATGAGAATTTATGGGAAGCTTAAAAGCTCTAGCTTCCTTCAAAAATCCTGATAAATGCGCGCGAAAAGGACGCTCGTGTACGTACGCCAAATTCAGTTCTACGGCGTCGCAGACTCCTGGAAAGGCGAAGTGATTCTAGGCCGAAGAGCAAACAGCGACGTAAATGAAATACAAGCGTGCGTAAACAATTTCCGAAGAGTAAACGGCGACGTAAATAAAATACAAGCATGCGTAAACAATCTCCAAGTAATGGGAGTCTCGAAGAAAATCCTAAAGAATTGTTTCCTAGATTCTCGGTAATACGTTACTTACATTGATTCATCTGCAACAAGAACGAGTAAATTTGTAGCTAAAAATTTATTTTCATTATGATTACCCTGAATACATGTGACACAAAAGTGACTTGGTAATACGTTTTTTTTTTTACATTCTACCAGTTAAACTTGTCTGCATCTCTTACTCAAACAGACGAATAAAATAAAAAAAATAAAGAAAAGGATTGAAGTAAAACTAGTAATGCAAAATGTTAGTTCTCACCCCACAAAACCTTGCGCACCCCTTTTGCTCTTCGTGTGAACTATTGATATTCTGAGATACCAACACCAGCAACGGTCAAACTCAACGTGCGTGTTACCGGACAAGGCACCACGTGCATTCATTCTATTACAAAAGAAGCTGAACAAGCGTCCACCATGACTCGAGATCCGCCGCGTCCCTAACACGTTGAATTTAATGCGTTTCACGTATTAAAACACATGAACATTTCGGACATTTGAAAGCTTAATTACATATAAGAATTTGTTTTCTAAAAAAATTAAAAATCCTTAAAAATTTTCAAAACATGTCCGACTTTGCGTCGTTTTGTTTAAAACCATATAATAAAATACATTCAAATGTGGTCATTATTATATTACATGTACGTAACTATATACTACAGCATTGTACATATATTAGACTTAACATAGCTCGACAATACACAGATTTAACTAGAAAGATTTAACTAGAAGAATTTAACTTTAAGAATTAAGTAATTCTACTGCAATTGTCATTGTCACAGAATCAGACTTGTCGCTCATTGAATTGCAACACCTCTTATAAATATTCGCTAACATGCGGAATGAGCTGACTTCGTCGTTTCTGTTCCTGTTTCAGGTGAGTGGCAAGCTGCACCCGCTGTCTCTGTAATGCCAAATAGATAGTCGATGTGCGTATCTGTCGATCGTCAATTTATCGGTTGCGGCGAATCGGATGCTGCACCCGGTGAGTGACGAACCTCCCCCACCACGGCTACCTCCCGTAGCTCACTTTGACCGATATGCTCCCCAGACCAATCAGTATCCAAGCACACCAGTGTCATCCGTATAAGCCTAGCGCTGTCGTAGTCGTTCCCCTTTCTGGTCTCTCTACCTGTAGTTTCTGCTTTGGTACAGTAGCACGTAGATAGAGGTTGAATTATCGGGGGTGGCAGAAAAAGAAAAAAAGAAAAAAAAAAAGAAACGAGCAAAGAAACGAAAAATCAGTGAACGTCCGTGGATTTGGGGTGTCGCTTATGGAAAATCGACCGAAAGCAGAGTCTTATTCTCAACGTACGTTGCGGTGGTTTGTGCGGCAGTTAGAAACTAAAATACGTAACGAAACTAAAATACGTAACGAGAAGGCTACAACTACTCATAGGGTTAAAGAAGAAAGATAGAACGTAGAAGCATCTGAACTCTCGATGAACGAGATTGAGTCGATGCAGATAATTAGTTATTTGTGACGAGCTCAGCGGAAGTACGACTCTTTTTTACGACACAATGTACAAAATTGTTATAAACACTTTTCACAATTTTCTCTTTTTTTTGTTGCTTAATATATTTTCCCTCGAAAATGCGCACTCAAAACATCCTCGTGAAAGAGAGAGAGAAAGAAAGAAAGAAAGAAAGAATGGAAATGAGAGAAAGAGCAAGAGAAAGAGAGAAAGAGGGAGAGTGAGTGAGTGAGCTAGAGGAAATAAAATAGAATGACGCGCGATTACTGTTGATGTTATGTTTTTGTTATTCTTTTTTTTTTATTAAGCGACACGAGAAGGCGTTTATATTGTTACCAATTTCGCTCTGCTAACGGTGACTTTCGCTCATCCGTTATAAAAAGACTGTTTTATTTCCATTTCGTTATTAATTAATTAGAGTTATTACTCGAAGACATAATTACCGGCAGTGGGCGAAATTAATGATGGAAACGTGCTTCTTTTGATTGGTACAAAATATATATGTTGATATTCGATAATTTTGTTAATATTGTATAGAAACATTTATGATGTGCGTCTGCTTAGTACCTGCTGAAGCGGCCAAGAGTGCGCGGTCTCGAGATGGATATCTCTTTTAAAATAAAATACGAAAAGGATTTTTTTAATCGACATTATTCTCTGAGAGAAGCAAGACGAGGATAGGTTGCAAATGGACATAACATACGTATCTATACTTAGTGTACCTAGACGCCTGCTCTAAGAAAAAAAAAAAAAGAAACAGCGTATGGCGCTATCCTATACAGTAATTTTATTCTAGTTAATGAATGTATACGAATAGTCGCTAAGAGGAAGCGAGAGTAATACGTAAACGCAGTATTTCTAAGGAGGAATGTAATATTAATGATTATTTATTTTGTGGATCTCGGAACGAATACTTCACACATTGCTCTGCTGTGCTATACATTATCAATTAGGCATGTAGGGGTAGGCGTTACCTATGTGTAGTGGTAGTTATTTGTGTAAATGTCTCGCGTGGCACAGACCCTTCTTTTTTGTAATATACTAGAATATCAATTGTTTACAAATCTCTGAATCCTGATAATATGTAATCCGACAGCGACCAGGGCCGCGTCAGCTGCCTAATGACTAAGATTATACGTCGGCGTTCTTAGGAGACGGTTGTCGTTTCGAACGCTATTGTAATATTACATTGATTATACGATTGCTAAAAAAAAAACAATAAATGCGATGTAAGCTTAATTACACGTCTTACGCTTCTTTGCCTGCGGCCCTGGCCGCAGCAGTCCATCCCGTGTCAGATCCATTTTCCTCTTCATCCCGTCGTCCGTCACACTTTGTGGTACGAGAGTAACGTCAGAGATATGTCGATCACATGCAATTATTACTTTCAGTTGTGTCGCCAGCACAATTAGCTTCTCCGCAATTGCACAACGATACTTTCTCGTCGCTGACAGAATACACTTTCATCGATCTGAAGGCTCGAAGTCGGCTAAAGCCGTACGCGGTTCTCCTTTCTCGCCGAGATAATTATCAATTCCTCGGCGATATGTGGCGAACGTGCGGTGCTAGCTTTACGACGCGTAAAGCACTCGTTAGGCGGCATCGCGGTGTAGTGAAACCGCCTTAACGGGCGCCGCGTGATCCGGAGTTGAGCTTTCCACGGACAGCCATAAGTCTCACGACGCTCCGAGATATTAATATGTTATTGCGGAAAGACGCCCTCATGAAAGTCGACAAGGACTACAAAAATATGTCCCGCGCGTCTCGGCATCTCCAAGGGTAGCACACACTTTCAGCGTAGCGGGGTGGGATACCGCTATCGCTCGCTATTCCTACGTAGCGCGCGGCTAACGCACACATCGCCACACACACAGTCACGTACTCACACGTACAGACGGAAGCCCTCGTTACTATCGCACACGTAGCGGAGAGTGGTCGGAGGCAGAATTCAGCAGACGCCATTTGTATTAATGAAGCTCCCGACAATGGTGCACGCCCGATGAATTATGTACCTACGTTCGAACCGAACGAAGGTACATAACCGATCTAGGCGTAAGTTTGCTATTGGCCTCACGCAACACTTCCTGTCCGGTGATCCTTAATTATGACATTGCAATCCTTAATCCCTTCATTTAGGCAGAGTTGGTTGTGCCATTTTTCGAAAACTATGCATTGCGGTTCTAGTATGATGCACATAACGCTACTGGAAATGCGCATATTTTGCTGAATATCTTAGTGGACATTTTTATACATTAGGAGATACTGTTTCAGATTTAAAAGCAGATTTAAATTGTTAAAAAGAATGTTAAGAAACAAAACATCAGTCGCATAATTGTGTGAAATGAGTATTAAGATGTCAAAACTCTAATCTGCAGATATTTTATTAGAATTACTCATTTTGAACGTATTTTTATTATATCGTTAATTAATAATTTATGTTAGCATTAATATTATATTATTAATATTATAATTTCATCTAATAGAAATTATCATTTTATACTATATATTGATATATATTTACCGCTAATATCCGCCAGCGAATTAACTAGAAATTACAATCCCCGCCCTGTAGAAAACATAATTCCGATCGAAACCGGAGGCATTAGCTGCAATCTATTACGCAAAAAGACGTAGCGAGGCATCCATCTCGCCATGGCGTAGATAAAACGACCGCTTTACTTTGGATTACAGGGGGAGCAATTTACAGCAGGCGCAAGAGCACCTGTTCGTTCTTGAGGAGATGGAAAGGTGGGGACGCTCACAACGCGAAGGGTAGTCTTATAAGGGTGTGGGAATAGCGTGCTTTGCAGACGTTGCGGTAATTGAATCCCAGTAAGTCCCTCTATATAGGAGTATCCACTTAAATGTATAACACTACCCTCCTCCTCTCACACCATCTTTCTTTCGCTTCTTTAATCTTTCCACTTTTTCTCCATATCGCGCAATGATTTTTTGTCGACGATTGGACATTACCAAGAATACCATTTGCATATTCCAATTCGACGAAGTTACTTTCGAAAAGTTACGCATGTTAAATATATATATATATATATATATATATATATATATATATATATATATACTCTGTTTCCTCAATAAAAAAAAGTTTGTAACTCTTTGCACTTTTCTCCAACATCCCTACTAACAATTTATCTCCTCTTTGTCGATGCTGACATTTCCTTCCACACACAGTATTATTCTATAGGTATACTCATGCAAAAACTCTCTACGTTTTCCTTCTATAGAAAGAAATCAGTAATGGGTTCAGCTAGGTGGAAATTCATTCTGCCATATTCCTCGAGTTTACTATCCCAGCAACGAAATCCTGATGTACGAGCTTCACGTTTCAGCAGCTCCTTGGCTCGGGCCGACTGATATGAATGTGTTAGGTGTAGATGAGTCTAGCGTGCTCCGCCCTCATATAATTACTTCACGCTCCCCTCCGTAGCCTGGTGCCCTCAGATACTTCCTCCCCTCTTCTTCTTCCTCCTCTCTTGCATTCTCTCTCTCTCTCTGTTTCTCTCTCTCTCTCTCTCTCTCTCTCTCTCTCTCTCTCTCTCTCTCTCTCTCCCGTCAGTGGTATTCTAGCAGTGTTTCTATACCATCGTGCTCTTGCAGGGCGGTTTGCTCGTAGTTGCATGCACCGCTCGCAAATACCATCGTATCCTGTGCGCTTGGTATAACAAGAGGGTCGGAGGAGGATTCACCCGGGTTTGAGGGGGTGTTGTGCAAAGGGGAGGTTATTAGGCAACGCAGCACCTCATCCCTCATCCACGTAACCGCGCCGCAGCGTGTATTATGTAACAACACGGAAACGAACTGTGGGGTGGTTGGTTGGCCGAAAGAGAGACGGGGAACGTTTAGGAGTAGGATAGAGAAAGAGAAACTATGCGAAAGCCTCGCTGATGTAGCTCTCGCTGCTACAAATATTACACGTCTTTATAACGACACGCTCGTAACTCTCGGTCAATATTTGTTGCTTTTCACGAGCGCTAAATCATTTTCGATTTGAGCACAAATCACGCTTCGACAATTTTCGGAGAGTCCAAAAGGGCACGAAGAGTCGAGACCATTAGCGTTGTATCGAGTTTCGGAATTAAATTTTCCGCGGCTATAACGTATTTTTATTGCACGCAGTAATATGATATTTCTCTGAATAAATTCAGTATGAGCAAATCTTCCCGTCGGTATACGACGACTCTGAAACTTTAATAATGGCTGCTAAGTTCAGAGAACACATACATTTCGCCGCATTACCAGAAATCTTAATTTACAATTGAGCTCTGGCGGTTTAACGGACATTTTGCGGCCAATATAATATCTAATAATTCTAATAATTCGCCGGTTTAGAGACGAATGATGGGAGAAAAGGGTGGCGGTGCATAGGGTGAGAACGTTTCCTGGAGTCGTGCCCGTTAGGGAGGGAAGTGAAACCAGGATGAAACGAGTGAGGAGAGGGAAAGGGGACACGGAGAGAAGGAGGTACAGAAACGAGAGAGAGGAGAAGAAGGAACAGGTCGACCGAGAGTATGGGCCGAGGAAATGGAGGGAAGGCCAATTAGAGGGCGGGAAGATTTATCTGCGGGCGACGGGTGTGCGGATAGTAAGGGGTAGGTTGGTCTTCTCTGCCTAGTGCATTTGTATTATTCCTTGGTTGGACAACTCCGTTCAAGACAACGGCGAGGTCCAGCTGTTATTGGCTGTTCCCGATCCTTTATGAATTAGTTGTTAACTTATCTTCGCGGTTCTGCCCGCATAAAGGGGGAAATATGTCCTTTAATGTCTTGATATAATAGCTAAAAAATGTTACGTAAAGCAACGTTTATATATATATATATATATATATATATATATATATATATATATATATATATATATATATATATAT